TCCCCGGGACTGTATTTCCTGGCATCCCTAGGCGTTTTGTGGGACCTTCTTCCAAATGTGCAGAAGTGCAACACAGCTGCAGAGACGCAGGCGGGCAAGCGGCTGCCTGAGCGAACCTCCATTTGAAGAGGCCTTCAGAAAACGCGACTTTGCTGTTCCGAGCCCTGTCTGCAAACATTTCTTTCCCCCTAACCCCTTTCCCTCTTCAGCAATCCTTTCTTAAGAAAAATAATCTCTATGGAGGAAGAACTACAGGCCATGAAGGTGCAATTTTCCACTCCCTGCCCTGTCACCACCTTTTCTGTGTGAGAGCAAAGCAATGCTGCCTTCAGCTCAAATCATCTCCCTGTTGGCTGACAGCTCCATTTTAGAGTCAGGGCTGGATCAATAACTGGTTAAAAGATAGGAAAGGAAGGCCTGTATGAGAAAAGCCAAGGCCTCTGCTCACTCAGATTTAATGAGACGCGAGCTGTTCTGCAGAGTAATGAGTGAGCTAAGAAAGGAGGTGAACAGGGAGGTGATAAAGCTTCATAAATATTTTTCTTTTTCTGTCAAAGCTAAGCCTGAACTGCAAAATTGCCAAAGAATCTCAGGATATGGAGTGTCTGACAGATCAAATAGCAGGTGAAAAACAGTGTTGGTAAATGCAAAGAAATGTATTTCAGAAAAAAAAGCAACCTCGAGTATAGGTTTTCAGTAATGAGTTCTGAATTACCTTTTACCACTGAGGAAAGAAATTTTGGACTCACTGGGGATCAGTTTTCTAAAACCTCTAACTTCTTGCTTAGTGGTAATCAGAAGAGACAAACAGAGAGTTAAGCATTGTTAAGAAGGAAAAAAAAAGAAAAGCAATGGACTGGGAAACACCTTTAGGCCCCTATAAATCCATGCTGTGCTCATAGCTTGACCACTGCAGGCTGCCCTACTTAACCCCTTCTCTAAACGAGAAAAGCTGCTAAGCAGGGCAACAAGGATGTTTTAATGAAAGAAGCAGCCCTCTATGAAGACAGATAAAAAAGATTTGAACTTTCAGCCTGGAGGAATGACTAACTAAGGGAAAAATATGGTAGAGGGCTCTCAAATAATGAGGGGAAAATATGGTGCGCAGGTCAAGGCAACTAAATTATTAAGAGAAGTAAAAGCGCATCCAGTTCAGTTATCAGCAAGTGGGCTTATACCAATCAAATTAATTGCTTTCTCACATAAGCAAAAGGGAGTTGTGCAATTCCTTGGTGACAAATGTCTAGATAACTGTGCTTTTACATACATATATTTCTTTTTTCAGGCAGATGATTCTGCAACAGAGTAACAGGCATTAGCTACATTGGCCTGGTTTTAGCCTCTGGTTTGGGTCTGTACACCCTCGCTAAGCCAAACAAGAGGTTAGACCCATGGAAGGATCATTTTACACTTACTCTATTCTTATGTACTCTGGTGTTATGTCTCCCTAATGATGTGCTGCTGGCCACGGAAGGAAGCTGGATACTAATTTCAATGAGCCTTTCTGTTTCCCAGAAGACTCAGAGAAGAATCACTTTCTCCTCTCGACCTTGTTTTCTAGAGACATGTCATTATACTGGTGGGTTAGATCTCATTAGAGCTGAGTGGGTGGATGGCGGTTGGAGACATTGCCTAGCCTGAGGGTACGGCTGTTACTTGAATGGGGCCAGCTTTATCCAAGAGCCAAAGCGGAGGAATTGGGCACACAGGCAGCAGCTTGTTTGGCTTTATTGGTCCTTCAGTCTACTGACACATACCGGCACACTTCCCAGTATGAGGATCTGTGTATGTGTTGAATCATGACCAATTTATCATTGATGTTTTAGTAAAATCAGTTTTTTAAAAAACAGGAAAAGCCCTAAACATACAGCGGACTAGTGGATGTTGCCAAAAGCTGTGCCTTGCAGGAACACCCCCAACATGTCCCATCTCTCCAGCCCATGACCACCATCATCATGAGTCACTGGTGAACCTCTTGGACTGCGCGCAGCCCCATGAGCCGCTCACGTGCTTTCCTTTCAGCCTGTACCCTGTGACACGTTAGCCTGATGGGAGAAGCAGAAGACATTACAGTCAGCGTTCTTGTGGGTAACTCTAGGAAATGCAGCAAAGAGTTGGTAGCACTATTAAAACACGTGCGGAAATGTTACAAGTCTCTCTCTTTGCAAGCTGGAATTTCTCGTGCTCTAAGCTGACCTCGTGCTCTAAGCTGGCTTTCAAACAAAGCACGCACTCTGAGGAGCAAAATCAGCATCATGCTGTTTTTCACCTTTTCTTTAATACGCAAGATGTCCAAGCCCACTAAAAATGGCAGTCGAGCGCAGTTGCTTAACTGTAAGCTAAGGGTTAAATAGCACACATCCAACTCACACATTCTGCACTCTACCTCTTTCCCCACCCTCCTCACCGATAGCTTGTGTTGTGTAAGGAGGCAGCTTGCTCCCGAGTACTTACCCTCTGAAAGGCAACCCTGTTGCCGCCTCATGCTCTTTCCACGTGAAACCTGTGGATACATTGCATGGCACAAGCTCGGGTACCCACTCAGCTTCCTCTGGGGCACAAAGCGTTAAAGGAAGCAGTCGAACAGCAGCAAACACGGCAGCTGCACATGTCTCGAGGCACAGATGGCAGACAAACAAACAGACATATCGGTATCGCTGTACAACACGATTCGCTTACCAGATTGAGAATTGTCAAATATTTCCACCTCCCGCCGTAGACGAACAGTCCAGATGGCCGGTTTTCTGTTCTCAAGTGTTTGACCGAATAGTTGACAAATAAATACCAGGCGAAAGCAAGGCAGTGGTACACAGTGAGAGTAGAGATTTCCATGTTTCAGCTTTGAGCAAGCGATAATCAGTCCAAAAGCTGCTTTTCTCTGTGCACAGGCAGCGTCAGGGCAGAGGGCGTCCCTGGGGGCAGGTTCAGGTTCCTGTGCTCCCGCTGAGGGGAGGATCACAGCGCTGCAACCTTTGCTTCTCTTTTTTTTATTAACTGTACCGACAGGTTTGGGGGGTGGGGAAGCATGGGCTTATTCCTTGGATTTAGGTGGTGAAGATTAGTGAAGATTAGTTGCAGAGTTGCATAAGTTTTTTTGCAAAAGTCTGAGGAGGAGGCGGCGGGGGGGAGACTGCGGCCGCTTGTGCGGGGCCGCCCGCCGCACCGTGGGTCGCAAGTGGAACCAAGCTGCGTCTGCCGGGTTTGCAGCTAGTGGTCATGTCCCCGGCTCGGCTTGGGAAACCTTCCTCGCTGGCTTTCCTCATGCCAAGGGAGGAAGCAGGGAGCACAGCGACTTGCGAAAGAGGAACTGTTTGTTAGT